TGTATTATTTAAACATAAAAATACTGCGTTTATGAGTAGATTTTATGTAAAATTTACAGAAAAGCTTAATTTAAAATATAAACTTTTACTGTCGTTTTGTCAGCTTAAACTGTTTTTTTGTGAAATATTTCCCTGTTAATTTGACAAGAAATCAGTGCACAAAAAACATTTATGTTATGTAGAAAATACAGGAAAGGATGTATAATAAGCATTTTTTTCATGTTAAAAATACAGGAAGTTGTCTATTTATTTACAACACGGTTATGCAAAATTAACAACTTTTTTGTGTAGATTTCACTGATTTTAAATGTGATTCAACCGTGATTTCAAAAACCGTAAACTGATTTACATTGTGTTCTGTAAAGTTATTAACTGTATTACTGTATTTTTTACAGGAAAGCTCTGGTAACCCCAGCTGCCAGCGTTTTCCTGTAAAAACGACAGTTTTTGTTTTTTAAAGTGTAGATTTTGTAGATTTTGTAGATTTTGTAGAGTTTGTGGAGTTTGTAGAGTTTGTAGAGTTTGTAGAGTTTGTGGAGTTTGTTGAGTTTGTAGAGTTTGTAGAGTTTGTAGAGTTTGTAGAGTTTGTAGAGTTTGTAGAGTTTGTAGAGTTTTGTAGAGTTTGTGGAGTTTGTGGAGTTTGTGGAGTGTGTAGAGTTTGTAGATTTTGTAGAGTTTGTAGATTTTGTAGAGTTTGTAGGAGTTTGTAGAGTTTTTTGAGTTTGTAGAGTTTGTAGATTTTGTCGAGTTTGTAGAGTTTGTTGAGTTTGAAGAGTTTGTAGATTTTGTAGAGTTTGTAGAGTTTGTAGATTTTGTAGAGTTTGTGGAGTTTGTAGAGTTTGTCGAGTTTGTAGAGTTTGTAGAGTTTGTGGAGTTTGAAGAGTTTGTAGATTTTGTAGAGTTTGTAGAGTTTGTGGAGTTTGCAGAGTTTGTAGATTTTGTAGAGTTTTGTGGAGTTTGTAGAGTTTGTAGAGTTTGTAGATTTTGTCGAGTTTGTTGAGTTTGAAGAGTTTGTAGATTTTGTAGAGTTTGTAGAGTTTGTAGAGTTTGTAGAGTTTGTAGAGAGTTTGTGGAGTTTGTTTTTGTAGAGTTTGTGGAGTTTTTGGAGTTTTGTTTGTAGAGTTTGTAGAGTTTGTAGAGTTTGTAGTTTGTTTGTGGAGTTTGTAGAGAGTTTGTGGAGTTTGTAGAGTTTGTGGAGTTTGTAGAGTTTGTAGAGTTTGTGGAGTTTTTTTTAGAGTTTGTAGTTTGTAGAGTTTGTTTTTTGTTTGTAGAGTTTGTAGAGTTTGTGGAGTTTGTTTGTGGAGTTTGTAGAGTTTGTAGAGAGTTTGTAGGAGTTTGTAGAGTTTGTGGAGTTTGTAGAGTTTGTTTTGGAGTTTTTGTAGAGTTTGTAGAGTTTTGTGAGAGTTTGTAGAGAGTTTGTGGAGTTTGTAGAGAGTTTGTTAGAGTTTGTTTTGTAGAGTTTGTAGAGTTTTGTTTGGAGTTTGTAGAGTTTGTTTTGTAGAGTTTGTGGAGTTTGTGGAGTTTTGAGTTTGTAGAGTTTGTAGAGTTTGTGGAGTTTGTAGAGTTTGTAGAGTTTGTGGAGTTTGTGTAGAGTTTTGTTTGGAGTTTGTGGAGAGTTTGTTGTAGAGTTTGTTTTGTAGAGTTTGTGGAGTTTGTTTTGGAGTTTGTAGAGTTTGTGGAGTTAGAGTTTGTGTTTGTAGAGTTTGTGGAGTTTGTAGAGTTTGTAGAGTTTGTAGAGTTTTGTTTGTAGTTTGTTTGTAGTTTGTTAGAGTTTGTAGTTTGTAGAGTTTGTGTAGAGTTTGTAGAGTTTGTAGAGTTTGTAGAGTTTTGTTTGTAGAGTTTGTAGAGTTTGTGGAGTTTTTAGAGTTTGTGGAGTTTTTGTGAGTTTGTGGAGTTTGTAGAGTTTGTGGAGTTTGTAGTTTGTAGAGTTTGTGGAGTTTTGTTTTTAGAGTTTGTAGGAGTTTGTTTTGTAGAGTTTGTAGAGTTTGTAGTAGAGTTTGTAGAGTTTGTAGAGTTTGTGGAGTTTGTTAGAGTTTGTAGAGTTTGTTTTGTAGAGTTTGTAGAGTTTGTGGAGTTTGTTTTTGAGTTTGTAGAGTTTGTAGAGTTTGTAGAGTTTGTGGAGTTTGTAGAGTTTGTAGTTTGTAGTTTGTGGAGTTTGTAGAGTTTGTAGAGAGTTTGTTTTGTAGAGTTTGTAGAGTTTGTAGAGTTTGTGGAGTTTGTGGAGTTTGTTTAGAGTTTGTGGAGTTTGTAGAGTTTGTGGAGTTTGTAGAGTTTGTAGAGTTTGTGTTTGTAGAGTTTGTAGTTTGTAGTTTGTGTTTGTAGAGTTTGTAGAGTTTGTAGAGTTTGTGGAGTTTGTAGAGTTTGTGGAGTTTGTTTTGTAGAGTTTGTAGAGTTTGTAGAGTTTGTAGAGTTTGTAGAGTTTGTGGAGTTTGTAGAGTTTGTGGAGTTTGTAGAGTTTGTAGAGTTTGTGGAGTTTGTAGAGTTTGTGGAGTTTGTAGAGTTTGTAGTTTGTAGAGTTTGTAGTTTGTAGAGTTTGTAGAGTTTGTGGAGTTTGTTTTTAGAGTTTGTAGAGTTTGTAGAGTTTGTAGAGTTTGTAGAGTTTGTGGAGTTTTTAGAGTTTGTGGAGTTTGTTGAGTCCCTCTGGAAACACACAAAGTGTCATCGGGGCATTTTCTGAAGCAAACGCACTTCTTCAAAATATTTTTATCCTTTTTTATTTTCACTTCTGCATGTTCTCCCCCCGTGTTCCTGTGGAGTTACTTTTTACAAATATACTTTTAATACCAGTTACTTCAGTAGTGTAGTATTGTAAAGTAACTGACTCATGTAATGTTAACTGTGACATACCTGAACTTCAATGACAGTTACTCACAAACTGTACGTCTGATTCTGCTGCTCCTCACAAGCACACAAGTGTAGTGTAGCATCGTGTGATGTTGTGTGGTGTTGTATGTTGTTGTGTTGTGTGGTGTTGTGTAGTGTAGTGTGTTGTTGTGTTGTGTGGTGTTGTGTGATGTTGTGTGGTGTTGTGTGTTGTTGTGTTGTGTGTTGTTGTGTGGTGTTGAGTGGTGTAGTGTAGTGTTGTGTTGTGTAGTGTAGTGTGGTGTTGTGTTGTGTTGTGTGATGTTGTGTGGTGTTGTGTAGTGTAGTGTAGTGTTGTATGATTTGGTCTAGTGTAGTGTTGTGTGGTGTTGTGTGTTGTGGGGTGATGTAGTGTTGTGTTGTATAGTGTAGTGTTGTGTGGTGTTGTGGTGTGTTGTGTGGTATGGTGTTGTGTGGTGTTGTGGTGTAGAGTTGTGTAGATGTTGTTTGACTTTACACATCTCATGTAAAAACATAAAAACTCAGGTTTGATTCATTCGTTGTGAAACATAATCCCACACTGATAAAACTGAGACACTTTCTTGAGGCAGTAACTAAGTTTTTAGTAAGTAACTAGTGAGTAACTCCTGCTCTCTGTCAGTGATGGAGGTTGTGGGTTAGACTCCTCATATGCAAAACACACTTGATGCTCATTTGAATGTGAGATGTTCTACAACGGCACTTTCGTTTTAAACAACAGTGCAAACAGTGTGTGTATGTTGTGTGTACAGTGTGTGTATGTTGTGTATATGGTGTTGAACCACACAATCTAAAACCACATCCTTTCTGTGAACCTTAAACTTTCACAGAAACACATCTCACCTCAGTGTCGCTGCAGCAGATGAAGAGGAGGATGGGAGCGACATTTAGCAAAAATGGTAAGAAAATATTTGTATTTTAGACTTAAACTTAGACTTAGATTTAGATTTAGACTTAAACTTAGACTTAGACTTAGATTTAGATTTAGATTTAGATTTAGATTTAGACTTAGACTTAGACTTAGACTTAGACTTAGATTTAGATGTAGACTTAGACAGACTTTATTGATCCACAAGGGAAATGACCTGGACACAGAAGCTCACACATCACATTATATTACAATAACACAGTGTAAAAATATAAAAACGGTAATAAGACTTCTAAATAAAATCAGATATCAAATCAAATAAATATAATAATATAAATGTATGTAAAAATGTAATATAGTCATGTAAATACAGTATATCACAGTTATATACAAGAGGTCGTAAGGAAACAGAGCAAAGATGAAATGAAACATAGTCTTATCTGTTACGGAAAGGTGAGAGGAGCAGAGGAGGAGAGGAGCAGAGGAGAGGAGAGGAGCAGAGGAGAGGAGAGAGGAGAGAGAGAGAGAGAGGAGAGGAGCAGAGGAGAGGAGCAGAGGAGAGAGGAGAGGAGCAGAGGAGGAGAGGAGCAGAGGAGAGAGGAGGGAGCAGAGGAGAGGAGGAGAGAGGAGAGGAGCAGAGGAGAGGAGCAGAGGAGAGGAGCAGAGGAGAGAGGAGAGGAGCAGAAAAGCACAGTAGGGTTGTGTTGACGTGGAATCACAAAAATAGTCACATGTGGAGATGATGAGAATCAGATGAAGAATGAGGAATGCAGAGGAGCAGAGGGGGTCTTCTCTTTATTCCTAAGATATTTGAATATTTGTGCCCAAACCACAAAGAATCCAGAATCTGTCAGATCTGTTTTACTAAGCAGAGCCGGGCCTGGTCACTACTCGGACGGGAGACGTCTGAGGAGACCAGGGGCCACAGTTGTCACACAGTTGTCACACAGTTGTCAGAGACTTGTCACCCACATTGTCTAGTGTGAAAATGATGTGTGTGTGTGTGTGTGTGTGTGTGTGTGTGTGTGTGTGCGTGTGTGCACAGGTCCAGGTTTAGTCCAGGTTCAGTCCCAACTTGTTTTTGTGCCTAAACATCAGAGAAAAACAGTTTGATAGAAGAAAGATAAAATAAAACATGTTTCGACTATAAAAAGAATGTAAGGGGAGGAGAGAGAGGGAGAATTACCAGCGCAGGGGGGAAAGAAGAAGGGAGGAGGGACAGAGGGACAGAGAGAGAGAGGGAGGGAGAGAGGGGGAAGAGTGGAAAGAGAGGGAGGAGTTCTGGGGTTTCCGAGTTTAAAGGCAGAGCATAAAAACAGCTGTGACACAGAGAGACACAGAGAAGAGCTGTACACAACCTCACAGTGAGTAATCTGTTTCTTATCTGTTTCCAGTCGTGCAGGAAAGAAGGAAGAATTATTAATCATCCAAATCTCTTTTATGCATGAACTGCTTTCTGTCTAATGATGCTGTGGTTTAGTCCTGGTTTTAAACTATTGTAGAACTGATTTATGTTATGATTTTTGGTTATTTTGTTAGTTTGTTTTTACCATGGCTTTGTCTTGGTCTAACCCTGGTTTGGTTTGGTTTAGTCCTAGTTCAGTCTTGGATTGGTCCTGGTTTAGTCCTGGTTTTGCTCTTGGTTCAGTCCTGGTTCATGCTTGGTTTCGTAGGGCAAACCATCTGTTTAATATTGCATTTATCCGCGGTTTTAATTTTGGTTCAGTCCTGGTTCAGTCCTGGTTAAATCCTGGTTTAGTCCTGGTTCAGTCCTGGTTCAGTCCTGGTTCAGTGATTGTCCTCCTTTGTAGATCATTGATTTTTCAGATTGTATTTTAAAAGTTTTTGAGCTGCCCCAGTGTCTCTCTCCTGTTTTTTGTCTTTATTGTTTGGATGTTCGTGTCTCTCAGACGTCCTCAGGCGTGAGTCAGTGTGCACGAGTTTTCTCGAAAACTCTCTTTAACTAATTAATATTGCACAAATGTACTGGCCTTTGTGCACTAAACTAAAACAACTACTACAACTAAACATCTCTTCAGTTCTTACTTGGTGTTAAAAAACTAAGAATCCTAAGTAAATTGAACTTAAAATGTATTAAACATTCTCTTACATTTTCCAATATTTTACTTGTTTGAATTTCACTGTGTGACTTTTCTGATGAAGGGTCTGCCGCCTGCTTCTCTCCAAACAGATGTCATGTTTATTTAGAATATTACACAGTGTGGCATTCATCTTGTCTGTCTCTATTTCAACATTTTGCTTGGACTGAAAAACATACAGTATCTTTACTCTTTTTGTTTCTGGACTGAGCTGTCTGATGTTTCTCCTGGGATCTGCTCTAGCTCCTCCAGTTTGGGGGTTACAGCCCTGAGTGCTCCCATCACCACGGACACCACTGATGCCTTCACCTTCATGGCTGTCTCCAGCTCTTCTTTCAGTTCCTGCTTTAGCGCTTTGTGTTGCATTTTTGTATGAAAAGCGCTGTAAATAAAGTTAGTTGTTGCTATTGTTGTAAAATGTGCACAATCAAATCTTTTATTTTCTGTCGCGTCTTTTCCCATGAGGCATTGCGGTGGATCACTCAGGAAATGATCTCTTACAGACATAAACAAAACCTTCTCAAACGTGATTATGAGGGATAAAAATATAGAGGATAAGTGGAGGGTGGTGATTACAGAGTGAAGTGTTGTGAGGACAGTTAGACCCAAGTAAACACGGGAGACAAGCTCTCCTGCCACGAGAGTCAAAACAACCACGACAGGAATAAAGGTTGTTTTCCATGTACACTGGAAAATGGAAAATCTACAAAATCTTGACACAGATTATTTTTACATACACACCAAAGATCATAATCTGCTTTCTGGAGTAATTTGATTATTTCAAAATTCATTGTACTTTGTTTTCCAAATCAAACAGTCTCTAAAATCTACATATCCACTGATACATCCTGTTTTTGATGATCAGATTTCTCTTATGCTGCGAAATCAGATCTAATTATTAGGTTATCTGATTATTCTAGTTATCTGATTACTCGAGTTATCTGATTTTAGTGGTCATGTAAAGGTGCCCAGTGCATATCTTAGTTGAATTTTAATAAAGGCTGAGAATAATAGAAATGTTACATAGTCAGGCTTTAACTAGTATATGCTCTTGGGTTATCTGATTACTCTAGTTATCTGATTACTCTAGTTATCTGATTACTCTAGCTATCTGATTACTCTAGTTATCTGATTGCTCTAGTTATCTGATTACTCTAGTTATCTGATTACTCTAGTTATCTGATTACTCTTGCTATCTGATTACTCTAGCTATCTGATTACTCTAGTTATCTGATTACTCTTGCTATCTGATTACTCTAGTTATCTGATTACTCTTGCTATCTGATTACTCTAGTTATCTGATTACTCTTGCTATCTGATTACACTAGTTATCTGATTACTCTTGTTATCTGATTACTGCAGTTATCTGATTACTCTAGTTATCTGATTACTCTAGTTATCAGATTACTCTTGCTATCTGATTACTCTAGCTATCTGATTACTCTAGTTATCTGATTACTCTTGCTATCTGATTACTCTAGTTATCTGATTACTCTAGCTATCTGATTACTCTAGTTATCTGATTACTCTTGCTATCTGATTACTCTAGTTATCTGATTACTCTAGTTATCTGATTACTCTAGTTATCTGATTACTCTTGCTATCTGATTACTCTTGCTATCTGATTACTGCAGTTATCTGATTTTGACGAGTCTGTATCTGTCCCTCTCCAGTCCGCTGCCCCCTGCTGTTCTGTCGTTGTACAAACATGAGAATTCGTTCCGGCTCCGCAGACTCCAACAGCGGCACCCTCGGGTTCAACTCCCAGTCGGAGGTTTCCGGAAGGGGCGGGGTCAGGGGTCGCTTCCGGAGGCTCTTCGGAGGAAACAAGAGCCCCACAAACCCCACCCCTGCTAATGCTAACGGTAACGCTACAGACGGGATCCTGCCCACTGCTGAAGAGCCAGAGGGTGAGTGAAGAGAGGTGTCTTGCTCAAGGGCACAGTAACAGTATGGCAGGAGTAGGGATTGAACCAGCAAGAAGGGGAAATATTGTACCAAGAAATGCAGGTTTATGTGGTGATGTCATTGATGAAATAGGTCCTGGTTTAGTCCTGGTTTAGTCCTGGTTTAGTCCCAGTTTAGCCTTGATTTAGTCCCAGTTAAACCGTTGATTAGTCCCAGTTAAGACCTGGTTTGTTACTGGTTTAGTCTTGGTTTAGTCTTAGTTAATCCCTTGATTAGTATCGGTTCAGAACTGGTTTAGTCCTGGTTTAGTTCTGATTTAGTCCTAGTTAAATCTTCATCTAGTCCCGGTTCAGACCTGGTTTGGTCCTGGTTTAGTCCTGGTTTAGTTCTAGTTAAACCCTTGTTTAGTCTTGATTCAGAGCTGGGATGTGTTGGTTTAGTCTTGATTTAGTCCCAGTTAAACTCTTGTCTAGTCCCGGTTCAGATCTGATTTAGTCCTGGTTTAGTCCTGGTTTAGTCCTGGTTGAGTCCTGGTTGAGTCCTGGTTGAGTCCAGCTTTAGTCCTGGTTTAGTCCTAATATCAGATGATAAAACATCTCCCGTCTTTCTTTTCAGAGCTCTACACTTTTCAGGAGCGTCTGGAGCAGCAGTGTTTCTCTGAGGCGAGTCAGATCCTCATCAACGAAGAAAACAAACTATTTCTGCAAAAGAACGAATCCTACTCACTTCAGGACTACAACACCGCCATCGAAAAACTACAAAACCAACACCAGGAGCTAGAGGAAGCCATTCTGAAAACCATCCGTCTTTCTCTCAACCCCGGAGAAGTTAGTCCAGAGGCTCTAACGTCAGCCGTGAAGGCCATACGCAAAGAAATAGACCAAGATAACGCCTGGATGCAAGAAGCACAAGCTGAAAAACCCAAATGGCGTCCGAGTAAATTAGAAACTAAGCATGAGAAGGTGTTGAAGTTCATGGTTGAAGAAAGACTGGACAATCCGACGGCGCAGTGCTCGTCTCCTGAAGCGGTGCAGGGTTCCTCCATCCAGGCAGACGTGTTGGCGATGGGGAGGCAGCTGAAGGAGGACCTCAAGACCGTGGTGGAGACGGTCCGAAGATGTTATCCGGAAAAGATGGACATCTGTAACTTCTACGCCAACATCTTTCATAATGTTTTCGGGGTGCGGCTACGCAAAATCGCAGAGTTCGGATTGGACGATAAAGATTGTACCTTCATACTGCGATGGGTCAACGAGTACTACCCACAGTGAGCATTTGTGGTAGTATTTTACATAGTAGTAGTAATAATAATGCACGTTTTAAGTTTTATTTCTTGTTATTTTAGAATTCTTCAGAAACCAGCTTTATCTGAACACATCCGAGCAGCTGATCTAGGCAAACTCCTGCCTCCATCTCTCCTGCAGCCTCTGGAAGAACAATACTTCACCAAACAACAGGTAAACATCTTCTGATCTTCTACTTCGCTGCACCACCTGACCCTCTCCTCCTCCTTTGCTCCTCTAACCTTCTCTTCTGCTCCTCTGACCTTCTCTTCTGCTCCTCTGACCTTCTCTTCTGCTCCTCTGACCTTCTCTTCTGCTCCTCTGACCTTCTCCTCTGCTCCTCTGACCTTCTCTTCTGCTCCTCTGACCTTCTCCTCTGCTCCTCTGACCTCTTCTTTGCTCCTCTGACCTTCTCCTCTGCTCCTCTGACCTTCTTCTTTCCTCCTCTGCTCCTCTCCTCCTCCTCTGTTCCATCTGATCTTGTTCTAACCTCGTTTGTGTCTCCTCCAGTCTGATATGTTGACGTACATTGGTGAAGTGTTGAGTGAGGCTAAGCAGAAGTGGACCAGCGGAGAAATGCCCAAAACAGAAGACGGCTGCTTCATCAGTGACACGGCCATCTTCATCATCGAGGTACAAACCCAAACACAACTGGACCAAAGAGGAAAATAAGAAAAGCCACAAATGTTGAAGCTCATCATGTTTATGGTTTCACTGTGAAGAAAAGCAGCTGCAAGAGTGTTTAGACCTGGTTTAGTTCTGCTTTAGTCCTGGTTTAGTTCTGCTTTAGTTCTAGTTTAGTCCTGGTTTAGTTCTGCTTTAGTTCTAGTTTAGTCCTGGTTTAGTTCTGCTTTAGTTCTAGTTTAGTCCTGGTTTAGTTCTGCTTTAGTTCTAGTTTAGTCCTGGTTTAGTCCAGTCATCAGCTCAAAGTGAGATCTGGTTTAGTCCTTGTATAGACCTGGTTCAGATCTGGTTCAGACCTGGGTAGGGCCAGGTTTAGACCTTGTTTAGTCTTTGTTTAGTCCTGGTTTAGACCTAGATAGGACCGGGTTTAGACTTTGTTTAATCTGTGTTTAGTTCTAGTTTAGAACTGATTTAAATTTGCTTTAGTCCTGCTTTAGTCCTAGTATAGTCCACCTTTAATCCTGCTTTAATCCTGGTTTAGTCCTGGTTTTAGTCCTGGTTTTACTCCTGGTTTTAGTCCTGGTTTTAGTCCTGGTTTAGTCCTGGTTTAGTCCTGGTTTAGTCCTGGTTCAGTCCCGGTTGTGTCTGTATCACAGATGCATAAAAGAAAACTGCAGACATGTTGAAGCTCATCGTGTTTACAGTTTCAGTTTGGTGAAAAGCAACTGCCACAGTATTTCTGCAAATCAAAACAAAATCTTAGGGTGAAAAGTGACGAGTTCCCAAAATGGCGCCCATGAACAGCTGAAACCAATGAGTATTAGAGACTCTAATAAAAAAAATAAAAATTAAAAAAAAGAAGCGAGGCAGTGAAAAGATTAAATAAATCATTATGTATTAAGTTTGTTAAAATTTCAGAGTGCAGCTTTAATAAAATAATAATGAATCAAATCATGCTCCATATTCTGTAGGTTTATTCACTACGCATGAGTTTGGGGAAGTGTCTTGCTCAGGGATACAACAGCAGAACAGAACTATCAGATAACAGAACTGAAACTTTGTCCTTTTGTGCAGCTGTGTGTGGTTTACAAATGCACTTTTTTGTTTTGGTTGTCGTAGTTTTGAATGAGGCTGCGGGGAGAGCGGAGCGTGAGGAGAATGTGAACAAAGTCTTTTCTGTCTGACCCAGTTTTATTCAGTCACAACGGAACCAGAACCGTCACAAAAGTCTCCTGGAAGCTGCTTTAAATGGACAGTTTCCCTGATCGTTTCGTCCAGAGACAAAGTCCTTTTCTCACAGCAGAGCATCTGGGAGGGCATCTGACACGCGAGGTTTTAGTGGAACTTGACGAAGACTGTACTTGTGTTGATGTTCTTAGGTGGTGAACGGAGGTGTGACTTCAGCAGAGACGGTTTTGGCCGATCGGACGAAAGCTCAGAGTCTGACCACGCTCCTCCCAGAACTACTGCAGAGGTGAGGAAACGAGAGAACGCCAGAAGAAATAGGTTTGGAAATGTAAAAAGAGGAGGAGAGGAGAAGAAGAGAGGGTCAGAGGAACAGAGGAGAAGAAGAGAGGGTCAGAGGAACAGAGGAGAAGACAAGAGGGTCAGAAGAACAGAGGAGGAGAAGAGAGGGTCAGAAGAACAGAGGAGGAGAAAGAGGGTCAGAGGAACAGAGGAGGAGAAGAGAGGGTCAGAGGAACAGATGAGAGAAGAGAGGGTCAGAGGAACAGTGCAGAGGGTCAGAGGAACAGAGGAGAAGAGAGGGTCAGAGAGGGTCAGAGAACAGAGGAGGAGAAGAGAGGTCAGAGGAACAGAGAGAGAAGAGAGCAGAGCAGAGGGAGAAGAAGAGGGTCAGAGGAACAGATGGAGCAGTGCAGAGGGTCAGAGGAACAGTGCAGAGGGTCAGAGGAACAGAGGAGCAGAGCAGAGGGTCAGATGGAGCAGGGGATTCACTGAAGATATATTCTAATCTAAAATCATCTTTTTTTTTTCAGTTATAAGTCTTTTCTGGACGACGTCATCAAAAGCTCCAAGCCCATCACTGGTCCAACTGTGAAAGCAAATCTCCACTGTATAGAACAGTTCAGGTCAGTTTAACAGACGACTGAAGAAAGGAACATTTCAGTGTGTTTCAATAACTGTTACTAATCACATGGTTCATCATTTTGTGCGTCTATAATATTAATGACTTGAGTTCATACATTATTTCTCACTTAAGTACTGCCGTCTTTTACTGTCATGTTCATTTAAAATAATAACATCTTCACATGAACACAAGTTCACTTTAGCCAAACACGTATCACTTCAAATAATCCAGCTCCAACAAGAACAACAGGACAGAATTCTTCCAACGAATTATTATTAGAAACTTGTGCATTTACTTAATAAATCTAAACTACTTTTGTGTGTGTGTGTGTGTTGTGTGTGTGTTTTACAGTAACGTCCTGAAGAGGAAAAGGTTCTTGTTTCCAGATGAAGTCCGAGATCAGAGTCAGTTTATCCTCAAAGAAATGCAGACGTCTGCTCACAGCTACCTGCTCAAACCAGTGCACACCCAGCTCAAGGTCAGACCTGGTTTAGACCTGGTTCAGTCCTGGTTCAGTCCTGGTTTAGTCCTGCTTTAGTCCTGTTTTAGTCCTGCTTTAGTCCTGGTTTAGTCCTGGTTCAGTCCTGGTTTAGTCCTGGTTCAGTCCTGGTTCAGTCCTGGTTTAGTCCTGGTTTAGTCCTGGTCTAGTCCTGGTTCAGTCCTGGTTTTAGTCCTGGTTTAGTCCTGGTTTAGATCTGGTTTAGTCCTGGTTTAGTCCTGGTTCAGTCCTGGTTCAGTCCTGGTTTTTAAAGTGCACGTGTTGGTTCAGCCTCTCTACAGGAAGCTGAGCAGTGATTGGCTGAAAGGAGATAACTTGAAGAAGCTTCTGGAAAACATTGAATCCAAAAGTTTGGATCTTCAGGGCCTCGCCAGGGCCAGTCACCAGGTAAAGACACACTTCACACACATTTACACATGTGCACAGAGTTTTCACATACTTCCCCTCCTCATTTCACACTCCCACTTGTTTTTAGAGTCGTTCATGTTTACGTCGTCTGTATTTTCTGTTTTTGTGACGCCATCGCTCCGGAATTCCCAGTATTCCCCCAGCCCCCCGGATACGCGCTGCTCTGTACTTACTGCTCTGATTCTGCACCATATATAGTTCTTCTTTGAAACAGAAAACGCACTGTTCCACCTTGTGATGTCATGTGGTGATACAGGAAGTGCTCCACTGTGTTTTTAAACTCCATCACTAGAGTAAAATCTTCACTAAAATCATCTGTACAATTTCAGTCCTGGAATTTCCAATCTCTACTCAACTAAAGGTAAAAGGAAACTTGAAAACTAACACTTCATGACATCACAAAGTGGAACAGAGTGTTTTGAGCTTTGCAGATGTAAAAAGAGAAATAAAGAAGAGTTAATCAAACATGTGAATGAGACAAAACACAACTCCAGTGTGTTTTTAACGAGGGAAAAACATTATCACATGGATTAACACTCACAGAGTCCGTTTTGTGTAATATCGAACCTTTAAATCATTTTATATGAATATTTTGATTTAAAATGTTCAAATGAAAACATCACGATTCACTGGTGTCATATTTTATAACTGTAGCAGATACAAGTGCAATAAAAACACTAGATTACATGATTTGACTGTGAATGTTGTTTTTGTATCATATTTGATTGATTGATTTTGGATTGTAAATGTGCTGCGTGGGGTGTTTGTGTGCAGGAGCTGATGGGGACGTTCCACTTGGACGTGTCTGTGGAGTACGTCAAAGGACTGATCAACGGAGACAGGTTCAAGGACGCCAAGAAACAAGAGCAGGCCCACGACGCCGTCCACAGAGACGCCCAACTGCTCCAGCAACTCTTCACCAAACTGGTGAGGATCTGTCTGCTCCTGTCTGCTCCTGTCTGCTCCTGTCTCCTGCACCTGTCTGCTCCTGTCTGCACCTGTCTGCACCTGTCTGCTCCTGTCTGCTCCTCGCTGCACCTGTCTGCACCTATCTGCACCTGTCTGCTCCTGTCTGCTCCTGTCTGCACCCGTCTGCACCCATCTGCTCCCTGTCTGCACCTGTCTGCTCCTGTCTGCACCCGTCTGCACCCATCTGCACCTGTCTGCTCCTGTCTGCTCCTGTCTCAACCTGTCTGCACCTGTCTCCACCCATCTGCTCCTGTCAGCTCCTGTCTACTCCTGTCTGCTCCTGTCTGCTCCTGTCTGCACCTGTCTCCACCCATCTGCTCCTGTCAGCTCCTATTTGCTCTTGTCTGCACCTGTCTGCTCCTGTCTGAACCAGTCTGCACCTGTCCGCTCCTGTTGCCCCTGTCTGCACCTGTCTGCTCCTGTCTGCTCACATCTACTCCTGTCAGCTCCTGTCAGCTCCCGTCTGCTCCCGTCTGCCCCTGTCGCCCCTGTCGCCCCTGTCGCCCCTGGCTCATGTGTGTGTACTTTGGCAGGGTTCTCAGGAGGATTGGTTAAAAGACGTTTTGCTCAGAATCGCAGAATTGCTCAGACTTCAAGAACTTCCTGCTATTCAGACAGAAGTGTTCACCATGGGAACCTTGTACCCAGACATCAGGTATTTATTCATCCGCACCTTTATCTAGACTTAATCCTGGTTTTATTCTGATGTATCCACACTTTAGTCCTGGTTTAGTTCTGGTTTAGTCCTTGTTGATATTATGCAGCACGGTGGCAAAGTGGTTATTTGTTTTTCTCACACCAAGAAGGTCCTGGGTTGAATTCTGGGGCAGGGTCTTTCTGTGGAGTTTGCATGTTCTTCCATGTTTCCTCCAGTTTCCTGTCCCACTAAAAACATGTAGAACTGGGTCAGACCCTGTGGGGCCTGGACTCCCCTGAAAAACACATTCTTAATCTCAGCAGGACTGTCTGAGTTCAATAAATGTTAAATAAATAAATATGTGTTATGGAGCGTTACAGAGCATTATACGATCAGAATATGATCAGATACATGTGGTGTGGCCACACACTCTTCAGGCGGAAGTCCCTCAAAGCTCCAGTCTCCATCTCAGAGACACAGTTTAGTGGAGTTTAGTGGAGTTTAGTGAAGTTTAATGAAGTTTAGTGAAGTTTTGTGGAGTTTAGTAGAGTTCAGTGGTTTCAGTGGAGTTCAGTGGTGTTCAGTGGAGTTCAGTGGTGTTCAGTGGTGTTCAGTGGTGTTCAGTCAGTGGAGTTCAGTGGCGTTCAGTGGTGTTCAGTGGTGTTCAGTGGTGTTCAGTGGTGTTCAGTGGTGTTCAGTGGTGTTCAGTGGTGTTCAGTGGCGTTCAGTGGTGTTCAGTGGTGTTCAGTGGTGTTCAGTGGTGTTCAGTGGTGTTCAGTGGTGTTCAGTGGTGTTCAGTGGCGTTCAGTGGTGTTCAGTGGTGTTCAGTGGTGTTCAGTGGAGTTCAGTGGTGTTCAGTGGAGTTCAGTGGTGTTCAGTGGTGTTCAGTGGTGTTCAGTGGAGAATGGAGCCAACACAAACACTGGGATCATGTCGATCATGTGACACAGTGAGTAGTTTTATTATAGTGGGCTCGTGCTGTGACTCAGCGCCGTGTCATGTCTAAGCAGGAAACACGATCAGGACACTGAGATTACCTCCTTTTCCTTTTCCTATTGACTCTCTTAGACCACAGGGGACTAAACTTGGAGTAAACTTAGACTAAGCCAAGTCTTAAACTGGGCTAAATTAGGTCTAAAATAGAACTAAACTTGAGCTACACCAGTTCTTCAGGGCTAAACCAATATTAAAAGAGCAAAAAGTATATTTTATATACCAGGATTAAACCAGGACTACATTAAAACTAAACCAGGCTCAAAACTGGACTGAACCGGGACTATTTTAGGACTAAACCAGGTCTAAAACTGGACTGAATCAAGACTAAATTAGGATTAAAGCAGGTCTAAAGACAGACTGAACCAGGACTATATTAGGACTAAACCAGGTCTCAAACAGGACTAAACCAGTACCAGTCTAGGACTAAACTACACAGCTCTGGCTGACTATGTGGTTGGACTAAACTAAAAAAAAACAGGTCTAAACCGGATTGAATAACAGAGAAATAACAGAGAGTTGTTGCGTACATTTCACGTGAGCTTTACTGCAGTTCGTACTATAAACTACTACAGTTTAAATTTACGTTCATCATTGAAATAATATTAATACATTTTTATTTGTCTTTGTTCCACAGTGAGAAGCATGTTTCAGCGATTCTCAAACTCAAGTCCAACTTCACAAAAGCCAACAGACGAACTGTGAAAGAAACTCTACGAGACGTGCTCAACGAATCTGCTACTACTACTACTACTACTAGTACTACTTTGGAAAATACACGGTCCTTCTTCTCTCTTCTCACTCTTTAGTTTCTGTTGTTTAATATTTCATGTGTGCGGAGGTGGGTAGTACTTTTATGTTACATTTACTCAAGTCACTATTTAAAGATATTATACTTTTCAGGTACTTTTCCAGCAGCATACTTTTACTTCTACTTGAGTAATATTTGTACTGAAGTAACAGTATTCTTACTTTAGTTCCATTAGTTGTGCTTCCTCTTCTCACGGTGGTTAAGGCTAAAGTGACAAAAACTTTCTGTGACAATCTGAAATGATCTGAACATTTGTGTTTCTTATTTTGACTTTCTACTTCTACTTGAGTAATATTACTTGAAGTAACATTTGGCTACTCTGCCCACCTCTGAATGTACAAAGTGAAATCTTATACAGATGTAAATAGATCATGTTATTGTTTTAAAAGTGTATATTTTGCTTCATGTACAATAATGAGGATAAGAAATGTGTTATGCAGTATTAAAAGTTTGTAATATATAGTTTTTACCTCTGAAAATAGAATAAAACAAATCAAAAATGACCTGTGTTTTTGGAGGATTTTGTAGTTATGAAGTACAAAAGTAAAAGTACATTTTTTAGGTATGTGTACTTTACTTAAGTACATTTTCCAGTGGATACTTTTTACTTGTACTTTGACATTTGAGAGCAGATATCTGTACTTTCTACTCATCTACACTGAAAAGTAAAAAAGGACTTTTCTTTTTGGTTTGAGAAAAAGCTCAGTCTTATTTTTAGCACATTTAATTTGAGTTTCCGTCCCAAATCACATTCACAAAAACACAAAAACATAAAAACAGCAAAAAAATTAAGTAAACATTTGAATCACTTAAAATCAGCAAAATTCTTGTTAAAATCTCTGCAAAATACTTTTTACACATTTTCAAACTAGTACTTCAGTAGAGGCTTTGCACCGTCACGTGTCCCCATGGCAACAGTGCCTACGCCGCCATGACACCGTCATTGTCTTCAGCAGCATCGGAGGAACATGGGCAGGTTTTGTTGTGTATTTGGTTGTTCTAGACGCTCTGAACGGGATAAAACGATTTGTTTCTTCACTGTTCCTCTGGAAATGACTCATCAGGAGTTCAAACAAGGGAATTATGGCTCGAGAACATAAACCGCGAAGAGATTTCCAGTGGTCCCATCAAGACACACTCACGTCACTTTCATCAAGGTGTTTGTTATTTAAATTGTTTCACTATTGTTTCCATTAAGTGAAACCGGCTGATGAATCAGGCTACAATAACATAACATATGTTTATCTAAAGTTTAATCTGCTCTTTTGCAAATCAGTAATCTTTGCTTTAACGGGTCTGTTAAAATCAATCAGATCAAATTTAAGTACAAGTAAAAATGCTGAGATACAAAATGAAACGCACAACCTTTCCAGTGTGGTCATACATACTCATTCTGATTGGACTCTGACACTAACGTCCTGCACAGACAACGTCAAATAAATCAGAAACACAGACACAGGTAGAACTTTGCTGTGCTCTTCATCCACACATCCACACATCTATTCACTCTCTCAGCATGACGGGCCCCTGCTGTGTAAATGAAGGACCATCTGCAAACACAAAGACTGCTGCACGGAGGAGCGCCCAACAGCAAAGACAACAACAATCAATCACATGATCAATCATAATTGGCTCATCTACATATTCACCACATATTCAGCTCCATCATTCATTAATGCAGATGTGCGGCAGACAATAGGCCCGAGGGAGAGAGGGGTCAGAACCAGAGCCGGACCTGTTCGTTTGGTAAAAATCAAATGAGAGCTTTATTTAGATTTATGCAGATGTTAACAGTAATGATATACAGCAGCGAGCCCTCACCAGTGTCAGGGAACACACTGAAACAGGACACTACAACCTCCATGTTACTGTGTGTGGATATGACCTCGAGGGAGAACAGCGATAAAGAAAATACACCCAGAAAGAGTATCAGACGTCATTGTCATTGTAAGTGAAAAAGTAAAAAACTAGATTTAAGATTTGGAGAGTTATAACTATGGCATAATTAGTACTCTTCCAAGTCTGAGGCCATGGTTCTCGACTGGAAAAAGGTGACTTGCCCTCTCCGGGTGGGTGGAGAGTCCCTGCCTCAAGTGTTCAAGTATCTCAGGGTCTTGAGGGGAGGTTGGAGCATGAGATTGTGTTGGAGTCCACGGTTTGTTAGGATCTTCTACGTTTGCTCTGCGGATGTTTGAAAGCCATTTAATTCACCGTTAGCGGTTCTTTTCACTCAGAATATGGGTTAGGGTAACCTTAACCCTAACCCTAAGACCTTTTAGTCTTTTAGTCTCATAGTCTCATAGTCTCTTTTTTTTTTTATAACTTTGTTTTTATTGGTTTTAAGTAACATTTCAAAACATACAAAAACAGTATAAAATCAAAAACAAAAAACAATAAACAAACAATGTAACAACAGTCTGGAGTTACAGGTTCTTATTTAAACATGTATTTGGTATTGACACTTGCACTATATTGTTTTTTTGATGTCATTGATGAATACATTCCATTTTTCCCATTGCTCATTGTATTTGTACCCTTTAAGTTTCAGATTATATGTTATTCTTTCCATCATTGAAATATTCTCCACGATCCTGATCCAGTCTTTTTGTGCAGGTGGATCTGGTTGTAACCAATTCTTTGTAATTGCCTTTTTAGATGCAGCTAAAATCATTTTTGCCAAATACATGTCCTCGTTCCTTACTGCATCAGATATATTTCCCAGATACATCACCAGACATGTGTTCGGAATTCCATATCCCAGAATAGTCGTTAAGGTTAAGTTCAATTGGTCCCAATATGCCCTCATTTTCAGGCAACTCCAAAACACACGTGTGTGATCAGCGTCCATTTCTCCACACAACCTCCAGCGCTCCTGCAGGGTAGAAGTCTGTCTACTTTTGATTTTAGGTGTAATGAAAAAACGTGTCAAATTCTTCCAACAATGTTCCCTCCACAACAGTGAATTAGTAGTACTATGGTGTATTTTACACATCTGAAACCATTCTGCATCTGTTTTATTCATTGACAACTCTGTTTCCCATTTCTGTTTTAGGTAAAGAGTTGTTTCTTCTCTACTTTCCCCCAGAGAGTTGTAGAAAGCTGAAATTGCTTTTATATTTTTTTGTTCATATGAATCTTTTACTACTCCAATTACACCTAGTGTGTCCTCCCATGAGTCAGGTCTACTTTGTTTTGTATAGTAATCTCTCACTTGCAAATATCTATAAAAGTCTTTATGTTCTAAATCAAATTTCTCCTTTAGTTGTTGAAAACTCATTAGCTTTCCATTTTTCAAAAGAGTACAGACTGCATTTATCCCTTTTAATTCCCATTGTTTGAATGATTGGTCAAGTTGCCCTGGTTTAAATTTTTGATCATACCTAAACCATCTCAGTAGAAAGGATTTTTCTCTCAGTTTATATTTTTCTACTACAGTGTACCACGTTTCTAGTGTAAACTTCACAATTGGGTTCATCTTGCCCTTAAGGAATGATGATCATTGTTTATCAGATATAAGTATTTGTATTTTATAACCCTCAACTTCTTTTTCAATGTCTTTCCACCGTGCTTCACAATCTGGCCTGCACCAACATGCTAGAGGTCTGAGTTGAGCTGTAAAAAGTACTCTCTTAGATTGGGCAGAGCCATCCCCCCTTTCTGTTTAGGAAGTTGCAAAGTTGTGAACTTTATTCTCGCCTTTTTCCCATTCCAAATAAACCTTGAGATCATTTTATCCCATGTTTTGAATTTGTTTTGAGGTACAGGATGTGGGAGGGATTGAAACAAATACAACAGTCTAGGGAGGACATTCATTTTTATAATTTGTATTCTAGAGTAAAAATTCGTAGGCAGAGTAGACCATCGATCTAAATCTTTTCTAATGTCTCCTTCTATTTTACTGTAGTTAGTCTGAGACATATCGGAAAGCGACTTTGTCAAAGTTATACCCAAATATTTATATAGTTAGTATAGTTTCTGAGTCCCACTTTAATTTATATTGGTTTTTAAGGTTTTGGGAAGGTGAATAATTGAATGTTAGAATTTGTGTCTTAGATATATTTATTTTGTAACCTGATAGGTATTCGAATGTACGAAATAGATGCATTAAATTAGGAAGGCAGTATTCAGGATTTTGCAGGAAAATAATAACATCATCTGCGAAAAGTCCAATAAGATGCTGTTGCCCTGCTAATGTAACACCCTCCAAGTTTGAATTTTGCCTTACTGCCTGTGCTAGGGGCTCAGCGTATAGAGCAAACAGAGTCAGTGAAAGAACACAGCCCTGCCCAGTCCCTCTCTGGAGCTCAATCCTATCCATTAGGCTGCCGTTCACCTTGATTCTAGCTGTGGGTAGTCACATAGTCTCATAGTCTCTTAGTCTTATAGTCTGTGGCGGGGCTCTATTAAAAACTCAGGCAAGACCGAAATTCCAAGTGCAGGTGGTTGATTGTGCCAGTGTCCAAAGTGCAAAAATCCCAAAAACAGTGTAAAAAGTATTTACAGCAAGAAAACAGGGTCGAGTTCAGCATGAACTGTCCCCTTTAAAATCCTTGTACAGCGCACCGACGTTACCTGCTCTGTAACCGGTGGCAGATTGATTGACAGCCAAGAACGGCTCCCCTTTATACCCCCCTGGCTCCTCCCACTGAGCAATATATCCAAATCATTACAGAAACAGACAATTTAACCATAAACCTACCTTGTCTATGCTACGTTGAGCACACAGTAATAATATACATTAAATGTCAAAAAAAATAGTTGAAAAACGAGGGAGGGAGCTGACGGGCAGCGTCACTTGTTACCCTGTGATTAGTTTGCAAATACCCGGTGTTGGGGAGTAACAGATTACATGTATCAGCGTTATGTAATCAGAGTACAAATTATGAGTAATTGTATTCAGTTACAGTTATTGTTTCAGTGAGTGGTAATTGGATTACAGTTACTTTGTTGAAATACACGTCGGTATTTTCCTGTTTTCCCATTTTCACATTTTGGGTTGTATCCCCTTTTTTTTTTTTTTTTTTTTTTTTTATCAGTAATTCCACTCATTGCTGGAACCAGGTCTAATCTAGAGCTAAACCGTTCTAAACCAGGACTAAAACCAGATCTAAACCAGGTCTAAACCAGGTCTAAAACCAGGTCTAAACCAGGACTAAACCAGGACTAAAACCAGATCTAAACCAGGTCTAAACCAGGTCTAAAACCAGGTCTAAACCAGGACTAAACCAGGACTAAAACCAGATCTAAACCAGGTCTAAACCAGGTCTAAACCAGGTCTAAATCAGGTCTAAAACCAGGTCTAAAACCAGGTCTAAACCAGGACTAAACCAGAACTAAACCAGGACTAAATCAGGCCTAAACCAGGATTAAACCAGGACTAAAACAGGTGTAAAACCAGGTCTAAACTAGGACTAAAACCAGATCTTAACTAGATCTAAACCAGGTCTAAACCAAGACTAAAACAGGATTTAACAGGACTAAATCATGCTGCGTGGACGTGTCT